CGCGCGGCGCCCCGAGTGCGGCCCGGTCCCCGCCCTCCGGCCCTCGCCAGCCTTTTTCTCGCGTTTGCTGCCTCTTCGCTCTGAATGGTGGGGGACTAACGTGGGAAGCTGGGGTCGCCGCGCTCGAGGAGAGGCCCGCGCCCGCCCGACGCGCTGGGACTGGCTTGGAAGACGGGCCCGGAGTCGTCGTTGCCCATTTTCGTGCATTATTTGTGAAATGAGCAATCACTCTTTGCTCCCTGTGTCAGCACAAGCCACCCCTTTCCCCGGCCCCACTTTCCTGAGTCGTTTTCCGTAGACACTCGATGTCCAGCACTGACCACCCTCCCTGCGAGCGGACGTGGGGCGCCGGGTGCGATGACTATTGATTGATAAGGGACTGGACCTCCTTGCCCAGAAAGCTGTTGTAATCGTTGCTGCGGAATCATCAGCACTCTTTTTTTCTCATTTAGTTTGACTCCTGGAAGCTACTTTTGAAATTCTGAGACCTCAATGTCTGTTGGTTCGGCTTTTGGTTTTGGGGAAGGGAATAGTTAGAAAAGTGCTTAGAAAGCTGAAACGCTCCTGAAAGTTAAGCATAGTCATTTCAGTCTGTTAAACGTGTGCTCTGGGCGCTCCTTGGTGCAGTTCCTTTAACATGAAAGCAATTCTTGCCCAGGTAACCTGTTGCCAGTCGCTGGAGTTACCTTCTTGCAAATAAATTATATTAGAAATGCTGAGGTTTATTAGATGAGATGGAATTTAGCCTGTTTGTGTAACACATAATCAGTCTTGTGTCTCCCTTTATTTCAAAACAAACTTAAGCCAAGAATTTCTGAGGAAATTTGATTCTGAGGGGTGACATTGCTTATATATCACCTGTGACAATGGTGTTGCACCTTTGCACATGTTCTCATAACCTAGTGTTTTCCCACTCATTCCGGACCTATTGCTGAGTGTTGTATGTATATTCTTTTTATCCCCCAATAATAATTTCTTTTTGTTGTTGGGATCATACACAGTTCATCAATTTCTCTGAGTGCATTTGGGGTGCTCTGAGTACATTCTTCCAATTGTACAGCCATCCCCAACTTTAATTTAGAGAATTTTGCCTATTAGCATAAACTCACTGGCCCTCCTTTATGCACTGTAGTCTTTCAAGTTGTTAACTCTCATTTTGATCCCAGATAGAGAAATCTTTAGGAGCTTAATGTCCAAGGCTACTTAAATGAAACCTTTGTTTTGATTTTTTAAAAGATTGTTTTAAGGACTATTTTTGCTTCAGATTTAAAGATTTTCTCAGGGCTGTAGTTTTAGGGTTTATCCAGCTTCTGTAGATCCAGAAAATCTGGATTCCATGAAAATTAGAAATTCTCGTTTGCATTCTTCCCCCTACCTTTTGTCAGGATTCTTCTATGAAATCTTTCATCAAAACATTAAATAATGATAGTTATTAAGGGATGAAAAACGGAGGGAGAAATTAGTAAATAGAGTGAAGGCAACGGAGGGAGAAATTAGTAAATAGAGTGAAGGCAAAAAACATTGTGCAGTAAGGGATTTACACATAATTCATTCGTTGTGTGATTCAAGCATTATATTATAGAGCAAAATGTGTAGGAATGATTGAATGAAAAGAAACTTGAAATCATATAAAAATGTGTATCTGGGAAACGTTGAGTCATGGCAGCAGGACGCTGGCAGTTCTGGTTCCGTGAAGCCCCCCTGCCATGTCCTCTTCCTGCTCACCCTCCTGTTTCCTCTTTGCTGCAGGTGAATGGGCAGTAACTGTGTCCTGGACTGGCCGGTCAGCTTCCGAGGCCTCGGGCTCTGCAGGTAGAACAGAAGAGGCCCGAGGACCTTCTTTTTTAGTGGGGTACAGCTTGGCAGCTAGCCCAGGTGTAGTTAATGATCTGATAGTTCAACCTGAATGTGGTTTTTTTTACCCTAATTAAAACTGATTAATTCTTGCACACAGTTGAAAAGGATGCTGGGTCTTGCACTCACTGTGAGTGGCCTGTGTACTCGCCAAACACCGGGAAGCTCTTCCTGCCTCCTGATCTCCCAGCTCGCACCTGGCACTGGGCACGTAGAGGTGCACCCCAGTCACTGGGGCTGTGGCTCTTAACCTTTGGTCTCTAGTTCACGTGCTGCTCGTGGCTGTGGATATTTCCATCTGGAGGAAACTGCCCTCCAGGCCCGAGAGGAAAGACGCTTCCTCAGCTTCCTGGCTTTGTGACTTCTGGGAATTTTTAGTCAAACCAAAGTGCTGGTTTTTGAGTGGTTTCCAGTGAATTATAAGGTTATGAGGTCTCTCTCTCTCTGTGTGTGTCTCTGTCTCACACACACTCACATTCACATTCTAAACCTAAAGTAAGGAGAAATAAGTTCTGAATCTGAACACATTAGTTGATAATTGGTTTCCTCTTTCACTTGCCTTCAGATATCATTTCTTTATTCTGTTTTGTTTTTTTTAAGATACCATTAACTTTGAAGTCATTTTACCATTGGCATGCTCACAATACAAAAGACAGCTTTTTCGGAGAAAAAAAATCTTGGTCAGTTCATCATCGCTGCTAATGGGCTGTGGTCTGGTTTAAAGGGGTCATCAGTTCCCACATCTTTTCTTGAGGGTCCCTGCTCAAATGCTGGACCCTCCGGATGCTGGGCCCACTGCTCGGAGCTCATCGTGGCTTATTTAACACTACATTAAAAGGCTGATAGGAATGTGTTCATTTGTTTCTCAGGTTTTTTGAGATCAAAGCTCAGCTCATGGGCACCGAGCTGGCCATGGACTTTGCAGGTCTGTGACTCGCGTGCGAGGAGGTCCTCGTGTTTCTCTCCAGAACCACCGGTGGATTTGAACCACCAAAGAGGCAGCACCGTTCCTTCGCAGCCTAGTTCCTTACCGAGAGGTGCGCATATTAGACAACAGTGCAAACACACTTGTTTTTTGTTTGTTAATTTACTTATTTTTTTTCATTTTTATTTTATCTTCATTTGAGTCAGAGTTTACAGATCATAGTGGTTTATCAGCCAATCATTCATACACATCTTGTTTTATACTATTAATTACACTTACCGTGATTAATTGCAATGTTTGATAAAACCCTTATTGTAGATTGGCGTTCCTTTCACCTAATTTATGGTATTTATAGTTCCATCTGAGATAAGCCCATATATTCGAAGAAGAATTTCCGAAGGCTTTAAAGAGTAAACTTGGTTGTTGGTGTGGGTTTTCTTTTTAGGTTTAATTAAGTTTTCAAATTTTTTTTATTCATTGTTGCACATTTTCTTAGCCTCCTCCCCCACCCTGAGCCCACCCTGCAGTGCACCCTTTGTTCCAGATTGTTGTCATACATACAACTGCCTAATCACGTATTCCTTTTGGACAGTTCCTTGTGAAGTTGGTTGTGATTTTTAAAAAAAGGAGGATGAGGGTTTGGGGTGGGAGTGGGGTTGGGGGGTGTGCAGGAGGGCATTGTATACCAATAAAGAAGTTTTTCTTTAGCTTTTCAAGGAGAGGAGCAAAGCGGGCGGGCGGCGGGAGGGGAGAAAAGTGCAACAATGAATGAATGGAATTCCAAAATTTTAAAAAAAAAAAGAAAGAACACAGGTAAGATACAATGAAATATTATGGGAATTTCATGTATATGAATATATATACAAAAATATATATATAATACAAATATATGTGTGTGTATATACATACATATGTATGTACATATGTGTATATATGTACACGAATTCACCTATCACCCTTATTTTGTTTTTTTTTATGGATTACAACAAATAAGCTATTATCAGAAAAAGAGCTTTACTTTCTGTCTCCAGTGCTTTAGTTCCTATTCATTGCTCAACCCACTATATTGTTACTTTATAAGAAAATCTTTATAAAACTAAATTAAAAGTTGGATACAAGGAAAAAGAGGAGGCTGGTAATTTTAAATCTTTCCATTTTTAATAACTTAATATTTTAAAATGTCTTAATAACTCTAATAATCTATCTGGTGTTTGTATAGTCAAAGAGAAGTTCTGCAGCAGTAAAACATTGAGAAGGGCAGTCAGGGTGGGTTCTCAGGTAGAATCCGGGCCTTCCGTGCTGGAGACCCAGGTTCAGTTCCTGGTCTTGCGTGGGTGGCTACCACCCCATCTGTCAGTGGACACTTGTCCGCCTGTGATGTGAAGCAGGCTGACTGAGATAGAAAGGCCTGGTGAACAGTTTTCAGAATCTGCTCCTACAAATCCTGCGAACAGCTCTGCTGCGGGCCTTGGAGAGGGTTTTGTTGTACCTGTGGTCAGCTTGAGCTCAGGGACAACCAGCAGGAAGAAAGGTGAACCATCTGTTAAATTATTACCACTGAAGAGGAGTACGTTTGTTGTTGGTGGTTGCCTTTGCGTGATCGTGACCTTGTAACAGCGCTGGGCCCGCTCCTGTGCTTTTGTTGTGGTCCCTGGTCTGTTTAACTCCGGAGTCTCCGTCCAGCTGTTTCAAGCCCTGTGTCCTTTTCTAGCAGTTGACCTTTTCCTGATAAGTCCAAAGTTAGCAAGATGAAGTCTCACCAGCCTCCATTCTAAGGACGGTTGTCACTTAAAGCTGTATGGTTGTTTTTCCTAAGTCTGTTTTGTTCTTTTGACAGTGCACAGTAGAGAGTAGCGTATCCATGCTGCCTAGGTGTTATACTGACCATCTGAGTATTAAGTTACTGGTTTTAATTGCTCAATTGTAACTTTGTAGCTTTGTCTAGAGTGTCCCTTTTCTCCTCTTTGTCCCTTCTCTGGCCATCCCCTCCCCTTCTCTGTACATACTGGGTCTGAGGTAAAGCATTGTTGCTTTGGAAGGCTCTTTCCTGACCTCCTGACCTCATGGCAGGGTCCACTGGTGCTGCTTCCTCACCAGGTGGTAGGCCTGGCTTCTGTGGAAAGTGGCTGTGCCTCTGGGGCACCTTAAGCCCCAGGAGGCAGGGCTGTGTGTGTCTGGCCCCCTGTGTGACCCAGTGACACGTGGGACTCCTGCTAATAGTAAGACATAAATGAACCTTACTTAGCTTTTCATGGCATGAGTCCATCTTGTCTACTTTGAAAGAGCAAAAAGATAGTTCAGTGAAATAAGCACCTTAAAGAAAATTTGTAATCTCAATTTGTAAGCTTTTGCTCTTTTAACAAGGCATTATAGTAAATGTTACAACACACGCTGCCCACACAAACTAACTCTCTCTCTCTCCCTCCCTCCCTCCCTCCCGCTCTCTCTCTCTCTCTCATCCATTTGGGTCCAGCACATGGCTGGATAGCTGAGACTTTTAATTGCTCAGAAGGAGATTGCGTGTTTGTCTCCCATGGAACCCCTGATCAATTCAAACCACCAGATGGGTGTGACCTTAGGATTATCCGTTTACTCCCTATGGACTAGGCCCCCAGAGCTTACAAACAAGTCTGCCCTGGAGAACGTGAAACCAAGGAGCTCCTTGGAGACAAGGATGTTAGCACTCCACCTCACATCCTTTGGGCACATGGCCAGGAGAGACCAGCGCTAGGTGAAGGACATGGTGCTTGGAGTGGTGGAGGGGCAGTGCAGGAGAGGAGGACCCCGGATGAGATGGACTGACTCGGTGACTGGGGTAATGGGAGTAGGTATATTGGAGACAGTAAGACCGGCTGAGGATAGGGCAGGGATCAGAGCTGTTGTGCATAAGGTTACTATGAGTCGCAGGCAACTTGATGGCACGTAACAATAACAACATGGGAATTTATGCAGGTATGCTGCGTACTGTTGAGTCAGAACTGACGCTTAGCTGACTCTCCAGCAGGTTTTCAGAGGCAGTAAATCGCACAAGAGGAGATTGTTCATCCTCCTCCCAGGGACCAGGTGGCAGATTCAAATTGTGTGCCCCCCTTTTCTTTTTTTTTAACTTGAAAAAGGAAAAAAAATTCTTAGCCGGTGACCCAGGGCAACTCTTGTTCCAAAAAGATCTGGGCCTCAATTTGTGTGCCTTTCAGTTGGCAGCACAACTTCTTACCACTCCACCACCAGCGAGATAAGATACGTCCTAGGCGGGTTCGCCTCGCTCTGGTGGCCTAAACCTAAGAAGCTGCACTGCAATCCCAAACGCTCGCAGTTCGAATCCACCCGCAGCTCCGTGGGAGAAGGATGAGCATGTTCCTCTTGTGTGATTAACAGCCTCTGGAAGCCCGCTAGACGGTCAGTTGTGGGTGATTCCAATTCGAAGGTACACAACAACAAAGGAGGGTTAATGGAAAGAAGCATCACAAGGAAGAATGGGGAAGAGAGTATATATATACATGCACAGTTCAAGGACTGTACAGCTTGAACAGCAACAGAAAAGCAGAGCCCCTGCCGCGAGGCAGTGCAGCTCAGGGCAAACTCCCTTGGTTGTCTGAGGCCATGGATCTTCACGGAAGCACGCGGCCTCACCTTTCTCAGAGGTAGTGGGTGAGGGCTTGAAACACCAACCTGTAACCACTATCCCACCATGACTGCCTGCCCATGGCTGAAATAGTAGGAAGTTTTGTGTGTTTGACTCCAACTGATTCTGAGCAGCTCCGCTCTTGGGTCTCCTTGTTTGGAGGAGAAACGCAATCTCCACATGCATTTTCCCTAGAAACCTCATTTTTCACATCCTTTATGACCTCTCCAGACTCTGTCATATTCTACCAGCTCAGGAATGTGTATTCAAAGGTGCTAGGTTGGTTCCCCCACACACACACACACTTTTTGTTGACTTCACAGTCAACACTCTTGGCACCAGCAGCCAGGAAATTAAAAGATGTATTGCGATGCTGTACGAGGAGGAATGTGGCATCAGGATTGGTGGAAGAGTCATCAATAACCTGTGTTATGCAGATGACACAATTCTGCTTGCTGAAACTGAGGACCTGAAGCTCTTCCTGCAGAAGGTCAAGGATTACAACCTCCTATATGGATTGAAGCTCAACATCAAGAAAACAAAGATTCTCACCACTGGGCCAATTGGCAACATCACTATGGATGGTGAGGAGATTGAGATAGTTAACAGTTTTAGTTTACTTGGCTCCACAGTCAACACTCTTGGTAACAGCAGCCAGGAAATCAGGAGATGAATTGCATTGGGAAAGTCAACTGTGAGGGACCTCTCAAGAGTACTGAAGAGCAGTGACGTCAGGCTGGAGACTAAGGTGCGCCTGATCCAGGCGATAGTCTTCGCAGTCGATTCTGTGGGTGGAGTGGTGGGAATGAGTGCATTTGACATGGCTAGGTTGGCACAGGGGTTTGCTCTGTCCCTGGAGTGAGGCTAGCCAGCCTGGGCCTAGGATTTGAACCAGGAGGCGGCCTTAAAGCCAAAGGGCCCTCGGGCCTCTGGCCCTCAGGCCAGGTTTAAATTGTCTTCCTGTCAAACATTCTTCTAGGTGGTATAGCACTGGTCTGTGCGTTGCTGTACAGAGGTAACTCGTGGTTGCTGTGATGCTGAAGCCTGTGACAGGGATGTGCCAATCGTGGTAATGGGCACCCATGGTGGACAGTGTTGGCTGGAGCTTCCCGACTAAATCAAGCCTGGAAGCAGGAGCAGCATCCACTTCCAAAATGGCTTGCCTCCGGAAACTCTATGTACGAACAGTGCTCAGGCTGTTCGTTCATAGGGTCGCTATGAGTTGTCTACGACTCGACGGCATTAAACAACAACAACAAGGTTGGCACAGGATAGAATAGCATTTAGAGCTCTTGTACATAGGGTCGCTATGAGTTGCAAGCGACTTGATGGCACATAACAACAACAACAACTACATTGCGATAGGAAAGTCTGAGGA